CCAGCAGCTCCCCCTCCGCATGCAGCAGCAGGGCAGGGATGCCCGGCCCCGCACGCAGCCCGGCCATGGCCACACGTGTGCGGCAGCAGCAGCGGGGGGAGGTCGGCCCCGGGTCAGCCGAATGCAGCTGGAGCAGTGCGTGGGCTGAGGCTGCAGCACCGAAAGCTTCAGAGCACCTTCAGTGCCCGGGGAGTGGCTCTTACTGCCATCCCAGCTCCTCTCCATCCTGCTCCCAAAGCGGCCAGGCCACCTCAACGAGCTGATCTCACTTGCAGCCCCTTCCTGTGTCTGGAAGTGCTGGGGAGAGCAGTGGGGGCAGCCACGGCCCCTAAAGCATCCCTGGCTCCCCGGCACCTAAAGCATCCCTGGCTCCCCGGCCCCTGCTCGCTCCAGCATAGCCTGGACTTGTCCTCATTTCAGGCTGGGCAAACACAGCCCAGCCCCAGAGGTAGGGAGATGATGCCAAACCTCCTAATGGAGCTTGACAGCAGTGGGATTAAAAGCACAAGTGAGATCACAACCCCTCTGCAATCAGCTGCTGCCCTGCAAGAGCTGAATCAGAAAAGAAACCTCCTGGCAGCAGGAGGGGATGAGGAGCTGCCCACGCAGGGTGAGGGCAGCAGGGGCCAGGGGGAACCTCGTCCATCCCAAGCCCTCTTCACTTGCCCTGCCAACTCACTGTCAGTAGGAAGGAGCCAATCTTCCCCTCCTGCAGCATCACCAGGAAAGGGTTTCACCAGCAGCAGCCCCAATTCCAAGTGGTCCTAAATTTGGAGGCAGAACAGCCCACACCATCTGCCCCCCTTCTTCTTGCTGCCTATAAGGTCAAAGCATTCCACATCTTCCACAAGGAGCTCCTTCCTTTCTCCCTCTCCTTTGAATGCTGTGCTTGGAGTGGTGCCACTGACCCTGGAAACACCTGAGCAGCCAGGTCCAAGATGGAGAGAAGACAGGAGAGCTCACCTGGATGCGAGGAGTGCTCAGGAGGACACCTACAGCCCTATTTCTATGGGACAGGGGGTGCACAAATCCTTGGAAACACCACCAAACCCCAGAGCACAGCCCTGGTCCAACCAAAAGGCAGCACTGACCCATTTCCCACCGAGGGATGCTCCAGCAGAATTGCTGCCCTGTTTCCTTCCCATTCCTTCCTGCCACAGGAACATCTTGGCATTTCCCCCAATGCCACCCAAAGGGGCCTTTGCAGAGATGCAGTGGTGGCCAGCTTGCATGAGCCATCCAGCGATGTCCTCCAAAAGGCCAGCAAGGCACAGGCACTGTCCCCATCTCTGCTCATCCGAAACTCTCCTGCCTGGCAGTCATTTTATCCCAGCAAAATGCAAGGCAAAACCAGGGTTTTTTACTGCAAGAAAAAGGGAGCCACTCCAGGGACTGGTGGGAAGAGCTGATGGGTCTTGGCACAGCGCTCAGGCTGAAAAGCTCCAGCTCCAAACTTTATTTTGCAGTGACCTGTACCAAGATTTGGCTTTTCCCTTTTTCTTGCCAAATGGAAAGAAAAAGAAAGCCTTCCAGGTCAGAGGAAAGACAAGCATTTACTCGTGGGTCAAGTGAAACAATCTGATGCAGGGTTGAATGCACTTTTATCCTCCCCAAACAAGGAAAAGATTCAATTTCCATCTCAAAAAAAAAAAAAAAAAAAAAAAACCAACAAAAAACCCCGTCTAAAAATAAAACCACAAATGTTTTTAGGGTCAGAAGCACTCAATTTTGGTTTTCAAGCCCAGATGATTTTCTCGACTGAACCCCACGTTGCAAAGCGTGGCTTGACTCAGAAGTGCAGAGGGGTGGGGTGAGGCATCGGTTTGGAAAATGCCACCCTCGCTGAGATGGCACAGCCACAGCAGGGCCAGCCGGGGACCACCCGTGTGCCCGGAGGAGAACCCGAGCTCCGGGGAGGGAGGGAAGGAAGGAGGGAGGGACGGAGGTGTTTGGCCACCTCTGCCGCTCGTTGCTCACCCAAAGCGAGCTGTCACTTCCCATCCTCCTCGCCAGGCAAACCCTTCCTGACATCCCGTTTAAAACTCAAAGTACCCGATTACCACTGCGGCCAGGCAGCTGGGAGAAACTCTTCCATAAACACTCTCCCAAAAAACAAAATCCCTGCCTGGAGCACCGCTGCTCACCCTTCCCAGAACCACCAGGGCTACCTGGGTCACTCTTGAGGTGGCTGTGCTGTCACATGCGTGGCCCCAGGCACAGGAACACCCCGTTTCCAGCCCCTCTTCCCACCAGCCCCACAGCTCCCTCCACCTGCCAGGCTGACCCCGAGCCTCCCGTCCCCCAGTCCATTAGCAAATCCCCGGAGCACACATCGTGCTGCTGTTAGGCTTAACCCCAGCTTTTAGGGAGAGCTGCAGAGCTGCGGTGCCTTTCAATTTTTAATCTCCTCTAAACATTTTGGTCCTCTCCCCAGGGACTCGGAGTTGATCACCGCTGCTGGCAGCACAGCTGTGGGGAAGGGGGAAACCAGGGGCAAAGGAGGGGAAAGCAGCTCCACCCCAGGCTCCTTTGGAGGAGCAGGATCCCTTTACCTGCCCACCATGGGATGAGGGAGATCCACACCAGGCTCCCCAGTGCCCCATGGAGATGCTCCACAAGGAGGAGGAAGGAAGAGCACCCTCATTCTGCCATCAGACACCTCTGTGGGTCTGGCTTCCCCAAAAATTGACAAGAAGGTTTATCCCAGTGCGGGGCACAGCCACCCCTCCTTCCTCACCACCTGGCACTGGCACGCAGCAGTGCCCAAGAGCAAGGATATGAATGCAGCATCACTTTCCAGTCCCTGAGGTATCTTTGTTCTTTTTTCCACTGCCTTAGGCAACAAATGTACAAACGGGGACCTGCTGGGCATGAGGAATGTGAGCTGAACTGCTCTGGGAAGGGAGATGCCAGCACACAGCTGGGAAGAGCAGCTCAGAGCACCCAGAGCAGGGGAGCAGCTCCAGGTGGGTTTTCTGTCCCTCAGGTGCTGGGGGCAGGGGGGTCCAGGCTCAGGGTTAAGCTTCAGATCTTCACCTTTTATCTTGATTGAAAGTGCATGGAAAACTAACCATGCACTAGCAGACATGTGAATGGCAAAGCCTCAAAGAAAAAAGAAATCCTGATCAGCATGAGGAAAGGTACATGGAATAGCAGCAAAGCCCTGCAGCCCACCTTCAACAGGTACTCAGGGTGAAAAAAAAGAGTGATATGCACAGAATATGCTCCTTCCATACTCAAACTGGCAGGTTTGGGAGTTCCCAAAGCACAGGGATACTGTTTGACACTTGCTGGCTCCCTCCCACAAATTTGCTGCCACCTTTCTGCACACATGAAAGCTCCCAGTACCCACACAGCACCTTCCAGCCCCCATGGCATCTCCCCATTCTCCATTTCCTGGGACAGCACTTTGGGGAGCCATCCCCAAAGCTCCCAGTTGTGTGCCCAGGCAGCGAGTGGGACAGAGGCAGCTCCTGAGGGGCACAGGGACCTGCCCACTGAGCAGGATGTTCCTCAGCTCATCTCCCCCTCCCTCCCAGGCCCCCGGAGGAGCTGGAGGCTGCAGGGAGCTGAGCTCTGAGCACTGGCCTCGGCTGCCACCTAGCAGTGACCCAGCAGCAGCAGGGACACACTGACAGCTCTGCTGAGATCAGGCTCCTGCTGCAGCCCAGGGAGGTGGCAGGTTGGGGTTTGGGACAATCCTGCACCATTTGGAATTTTAGGACATGGCAGCCCACTCAGGGCCACAGGCCCCTGGTCACAAACCCCAGGCCTTTTCCGTGGGACACAAAACTCAGCACCCCAGTTTGCAGGAGGCACTTGGCACTGAGTGAAAGGAGGGTCTGGGGATCTTCTCAGGGCACCCCACCGTGGCCCCAGGTGTCACATCCCTGAAACCAAAAGGGAGCTCTGCAGCACAGGGTGAGCTGTGAGCAAGCCCAGTGATGAATGACAAAAATGTGCAGTGAGTGCCCCAACCCAACCGTGGCAGCAGAGAAGTCAGGAAACCTCTGAAGCTGCCCACAGGGTTGGACAGCCCCTGCTCCTCAGCATTCTCCTTCCATCTCCTTCATTAGCTTTCCCAGCAGCTGCTTTTTAACCAGCCACAGATTTTTGGTTTTTAGCTGTTTCACATCCCAAACCACCCTTAAATGCTGGAGGGGAAAAAAAAAAAAAAGTGAAAGAATAATACAATGGCTTCGTTGGAAGAGATCTTTAAAGATCAACTAGTCCAATCCACAAATGTCTTATGCTGGGCTTTTACTCATTCCAGTATTGCTGCTAGTATAACTCAGCTTTTCTTGGTTTGCAGAGGAAGATACCCCTGGCATGGTTCAGGTGGGCACAGAATGGCCCCTGAAGATGTGAGGAACACTCCAGGTACCAGCAAAGCAGCTGGATGCCAGCATTCCTAACCAGGGCACTTCTGTTTTCCCAGCTTTTCTCTGCATTAACACCCTTTAGGATCACTTGCCACAAGCAAGGAGCTACACAAAAATGGTCAAGCTTCAGGCTCTCTCTCACTGCATTCCTCACAGATTTTATTCAACTTCTTTAAGGTGAGATTCCTGACACTTTGTACACATGACATCCAACAAATCACAGCATCTTCTTCTTGGGGAAGGAGGTTTCTTCAGCTCTCCTCACTGCAAGGAGTGTGCAGAGCAGCCACTGCATTAAAAACCAAAATCACATCCCCACACAATGTCAAAAGAGCTCATGCACTGAAGGAAGGAGGGATGGGCAGCCAATTTCCCTCTCTTAAACTTAAAGGATACATAACACAATGTGACACTTGGATGTTCTCCTGAACCATTATATTAAAGAGCAGTAACTCAGTACACCACTGGTACAACAAAAACTTTTACCTGAAAGCAAAACTAACATTTATCACACATGCTGGGCACACCTGAGATATCACAATCCAGGTTTTTTCAAGGATTAAACGTTTCTGAACAAAAAAAAAAAAAAAAAAAAAAAAAAAAAAAAAAAACCAAACCCTGACAGCAGGGTCATACAGAGAGCTGTGCTGCTCCAGACAGCCTTCCTTGGCAGCAGCTCCAGCTTGTCCCCTCCCATCACACCTTCCTTCTCAGGCTGGGCAGCCACTGAAGCAGGGAAGTGGCCAATCATGCAGCTGCAGAGAGCAGGGCAGGAGGGACACACAGCTCCTGAGGTGGCCCTGGGTCACAGAGCCCAGAGCATGGCAGAGGCCAACCATGAGACTCCTGGGAAGGTGTTGGTCTTCATGTTTGCTTCATCTGCATAAAGGAACACAGAAAAGAAAGATCAAAGCTACACAAGCAAATCCAAGAGCTCCAGTGTAGACTGAAATCCTTTTAGCCTGGACCTCACCAGGCCATGGAAAGAAGATTTGCTATTGCACACCTGTTTGATGAGTCTGACATGTGAGGACCCCTCTCCTCCTGCTGCTCCACCTCCACTTCCCCAGAGGTGGGAAATGAGATGTGAATTCAGTAGGCTTTGTCTAGGAAACTCTAGAGAGAAAGTTCCAAGGCATAAACAGCCACTGCCTTTGGCAGGGGACTTAATCCACCTTGTAAACTGAGCAACTCCTGTATGGGTGGTGTAAATTCTTCCTTCACTTGGAAGATGGAAGACAAGCACCCACACAGGGAACTCACAGGGTTTACAAAATGCTAGGGTTGGGAGACTGGGAGATTCAGTATGAAATGAACACTGGAGTGGAGAAACTTCTGCATGCAAGCAGCAGAAAGCCCAGAAGAGAGAACAAAACCCAACAATGACAGAACTAACCCTCAATTCATTTTGCTCCCATTACACAACCAGAAACCCATTTTGCTGCACAAAGGTCAACCCAATACATGGCATCCAGCTGTTTATTATTGTGGCATCTCCAGCCCACAGAAACACCAACATTTCCATCTGTTCCAGCAGCACCAGCCTCAGGATACCCAAGAGGGGCTGCAAACTCACAGCACAGTAACAGACTGCTCAACTTTCTGCCAGCCCATTTTGACTGATGAATCTGTTCATAGTGTCAAGGGGGCATAGCATGAATGGTCCAACAGTGGGATGGACAGTTCATAAAGTTGGGCCCTGCTGGAAAAACTTTCTATCTGATCTGGGTCATTTTGTCTCATTTCTGCTGGTTGCCTGGAGTAAATAAAGGAGGTGTAAAGGTTTTTCACTGACTTGACTAAGACAGCAGACACTGAGGACTCTCCAAGAGAATGAGATGTCTGCAAATATATGTAAAGAAAATAAATTTGAGAGGGTGCAATCATTGCACACTCAGCTCATTAGCTGCCCTGATCTTAATTATCTCTCAAAATTTACAAAGAAGTGGAAGGTCAGCAAATGGATAATTAAAAAACCGGAACAACAAGACTACACAACAATAATCCCCTGGCCAAAGGGCAGCTTTTCCTCCACAGCAAGCTGGAAAGAGCCACAGATTATTCCAAGACACAAGGCATTCTATCTCAGCAAAGAATTAACAGCTGTCTCATCTCTCAGCAGCCCCACGCAGAACCAGTGATGGCAATGACAGAGGGAGTTCCTGCAAGGAGGCAGGAGCTGAGTCAGAGGAAGCCCCTCTGCATTTTTGCTTAAGAATTCAAATTAAATGTACATTTCAGGGCTGCTCACTCATGTCTCAGCCACAGATGGGAGCTGATGTTTGTATTTTTTAGCTCAGTATGGAGGAGCAAACTAGTGAAATGAGAGACAAGCAGCAATTCAACCCCAGCTGTTCAAAAACTGGGTACTTGCTGTCTAGGCTGCTTCAGCTGTCAGGGCACAAGGGACTGTGAGGCACTCCTGCAGCAGCAAGGATGGCTGGGCAGCAGGAATTCAGTGCTGACAGCATGCCAAGACAGGCATCACTAGAGCCCAATTAGCCAACTACTCAGCTGGATACCAGCAGCCCACTGAAAACCTCTGCTTAACAGGCAGGAGAAAATATCAGTGTTAGGACAAGGCTACAAGATGATTTTTATCTCTTCTTGCCACCCACACCATTCCCACTGAGGGCCAGGATGCATTTACATTCCTCTAGTCTCCAAATCACCACCTGTGGCTGACATTTATGGATCTTGCTTTAGGCAGCTAGGCAAGGAGCTCTCCAGATTCCTGCATTTGAAACACAAACTCAAGATTTGCAGTCTTCCCCACATTAGCTTCTTCCAAACACACACAATAACAGGATGCTTTGTGTCTTTCAGCTCATTTGATAAACTGACAGAGCAAGGACATTAATATCCAAGACACAGTTTACACAGAGTTTCTCTAGCACAGAAACCTTAAAAATCCTGGGAAAAAACCTAGAGAAAATGAGTGCTTTACAAGTTACTAGCATTAGACTTGCTTTTACTGCTCTTTGAGAGCAGTGTCAGAAACAGCCCCAGAGCAGCCCCACTGCTGAACACTTCAACATTGGCTTGACAGGTGTTTTGCTGCCTGTAGTAAAATGTCTCATGAAAATACTACAGTTTAAATAACAGAAAAGGGGAGAGATCACCTGTAGACAAGTGCTCCTGGTGTTTCAATGGTACTGCCCTGGACTGCACTCAAGACCTGGGGCTTACTCCCTGCTTAAGCTCTCTGTTCAGCAGCTGATCAAACTGTTCAATAGCCAAGGGCTTCCCTTTGAGCATGCTCTGAAACCCCAGGTGGAAAGCACACACTTATGCTTTACATTCACCCTTAGAGTTATTTTGTTAACAAAGCTGTGGTTGTACAGAACCTCTTCCCCAGCAACAACCAGGACTGCAAATCCCTTTCAGGTCAGCTTAGGATGAGCAAAACCCTTTACTGCAAATATTCACCATGGCACTTGTGGACTTTCCCTGCATTTACAGACTACTATCCTGAATTATTGCACATCCTTTGCCAAACCCCAGAGATCTAAGAGGAAAACACACTGCTGAGCCCTGTAGCTGATTTCATGGAATGACAGCTATGCCAAACTCTCACCTGGTCACAGCTCAGCCCCATTCAGCTTCAAGGTTGCTGCTTCACTGTCTGCATCTCGAGATTGCTGCTGCAAGCGAAGGTCTGGCTCCACCACCTCAGCATTCCTCTGCTTTCCACTGGGCTGAACATACAAGGCTGAGGGATTCAGTTCCTCAAACTCCTAGAACAAATAAAAAACACAGCACAACGGTAAAGAAACTTCTCATTGTAACTACCACAGAGAATAAAAGAATGCTGCAAATCTCTAACAGGTCAGAAAAGAATGAAGGGGCACAACACCCAAGAGTTAGCTCCAAATTCTTGCAGAAATGGCTTTATTAAGAAAATCAACTCCTCTCTTGCCAGCAAGCAGCAAAATTTCTCAGCAATGCCCCTCTCCTCCAAAATTGGGCCTACACATAAAAAAAATACCATCACAAAATCTAATCTGCCAGAACATGCATTCTGCATCTGCTGAATAAAACAGATTCACTCCAGGCTGTAATACTCAGCTTTCTGCTGAAATACAAAATCATGGCAGTACCTTTGCAAGGGTTTGCATAATCCACACAGTTCTTACTGAGCTGAGACATGCAAACAATGCCACAGGTAAGCCCAAAGCACAAATGATCTGGCTTACAACTGGTGTGACAACAGGCAATTACCATGGTCATGCCATCCAGCACTGCACATTTCAATGGCAGAATATGAGTTTGTAAACCAAAACCATTTCCATATCAACTTTTAATCCATTACTAGAAGATGGGCTGAAAACAGTTTGTTCTACTAAACAGAACATCTCTGTTGTACCATCAGACTCCACCTTAACCAAAAAGCAAGCTCTCCACATAGAGTTGGACACTGGGATGCAGCCACAAAATGAAAAGCTACAGCAAAGCAGGGAATACCAGTTTTGCTCTTCACAAAACCACTTGCTTCAAGGTAAGAATCTTCTCATTAAGAATCTTCCCAGGCAGCCAAGCAGGGATCCTTCCCTTCCCCTTCCTTTCAGCAGCACTCTCCTCCCTCCTCACCTGGGAAGGGATGTTCTCCCCACAGACATCAGCATATCCCATATCCCTGAGGACAGAGTGGAAGTAGACATCCTCCTTGGTGGATGTGTCACACAGGAAGAGGTACAGAACACCATCCACGTATTCATCCACCACGCCCACGAGCTCCTTGAAGCGACAGAGGTGCTTGAACAGGAGAATTGCAGCACTGGACCACGTACCCTGAAGAGGAAACAGTGTAAAGGCACCATAAACAGACCAAAATCCACCACTTGAGACTTGTCCTCGTGGTGGGCACTTGTCAAAAGCCAGCTGAGCTAGCCCAGGCCAGTGACAAATACAGCAAGCAGGCAGACAAGCTTCCCAGCATGAAACTAAACCAAACTATCCAAAGCCTGCAATTCTCATTACCCTGGGAATGCCCTTTCATCCTAAATACCTACTTCCAAACACAGCTCCATGGCATTCACCAGTGATTTTATCCCAATTGCCTAAAATACAGTTGTTTGTAGGGTTTTCTTTTCTAATTCCTGGAATCACAACATTAAAATCACAACATTTACAAACACTGAAAGTATTAAAAGTCAGTAAGGTGCTGCTAAGCCTCACCACAAGCAAAACTGTGATTAACCCTCAAAACCCAGGGGAAATAACTTCTTAAAAGCAACATCCTTAAAAACACACAGAGGCAGCAACTCTGCTCACATGCTTTCCTTCAGAGATTGTATTTCTCAGGCTTCCTGACCAAGAAGTTTTCCATCACAGAAAAATTTTCTTATGACCTCTGTAACTCTGGCTGTGCTAACTGCATCTAACCAACTCACTTAAAGCTCTGTTACAGAATAAGTTTTTAAAACAGAGGGTTGGAGCTACCAAGGCTTGGGGAACTACTGGCAGGGAGAGGAAAATGTTTGCTGTGCTGCTTCACAGTAGCCATCTGTTTCTGCAGGAATGTAATCAAGAATGCTCTGATGGCAAGGAAAGCACTGAAAGGGTGATTGCTTGTAGAGCAGACACCCAGCACACTCTGCTGAATGTCACAGCACTAATTCTGCTGTAAATATCAACAGAACCTGACTTCCTCCAAATGAAGGAGAAAAAGACAACCTCTACTTGATAACTCCTCTACAGATGGCAAGAAACAAAACTGCATGTGGACACCTACCTCCACAGGTTTTACCCATGCCAAGGAACACGGGATGGCCTGAGCAGGGAGCTTCAAGTAGTGCCACCTGAAATACAAAGCAAAACCATTAGAACAAAAGCAGGGATCAACCAGCAGAAGAGCAGGACTTCCTTCTCTCCTGGGTCTTACTACCAGTTTAGGAATGCCAAAGCAATTTCAGAAAACACTCCATACCCAGAGAATGGGCACAGCAAAAGCAGCAAGAACAACTGGTCCCTAATGCATTCCCTGGCCCAAGCACATTCCCATCAAAATCCCTTGTGGAGACAAAGTTACAAACAGAGAACCATTAATTTTGAACTAAATAATGCCAACAGCCAGGCATGAGGAGAGGCAAATGAGGGGGAAGACACAAATATGGAAAATATTCAAAAACCATCTCAGCATGGTCCTGGGCAGCCTGTTCTAGACAGCCCCACTGCAGCAGGGAGCTTGGACAGGACAACCTCCAGAAACCTAATCCAAGCTAATCCAATCCAATCCAGCTGTTCTGTGATTCTGCTGCCCATGGGTAATTCACTTACTTGAGGAATCTCAGCCAAGACTTCTGGACAATCTGGAGGTGTCCATAGTCTGCATAGAACACCTCCACCTCCTGGTCGTTGATCACACGGTGGATGATGACACGGTACCACCACTTGGAGACCATGACACAGCACAGCTGCCCAGGCCTCACTGCAGACTCAGGCATGATGTATTTATCAGAAGCAACTTTGTGTGAGTAAACATGTCTGCAAAAGATGACAGTGAGAAATCAGCCTTAGGAGGATGCAGGAGATGAACAAGGACCAAAAGAATTCTGACTTTAAAAAGTCCCCATGACATGAATTTCCAGGAGTTGTTTTAATAGACTCTTTATATCTCTGTTCTGCCACACTTAAACTGAAATGGGAATTAAATTGCAACCCCAATCTTTCAACATTTGAACAATACCCTTGGGGTCCAACAAAAAGTTAGTTAATGGGGATTAATGAGAGGCTAAACACAGACATCCTCATCATTCCTTTTTTCCCATTACCTTGACACATCAGCATTTCTCATGAACCAGGTTCTGCAGCACTGGCCCAGGTGCAGTGTTGGAGGTGGAAGTGAAAGCCTTAACTGAGCACATTAGCAACAGCAGCACAGACAAGGCAGGAACCCTCCAAGCTCCTTTCCAGAACCCTTCCAGGCTTACAGAGCTCAGAACTGCTAGGACACAGACAAACCACAGCCCCTGCTGGTGACCACACTTATTGCTTGCTAGTTAAAAGGATGCACATTTTGAGCAGTGTTTCAGGACAGCATCCCTGTAGCAAGTCAGGAAGCCAGCAGAGACCATCACCAATGCTGGGTGCCCTGCTCCCTCAGCACAACCACTGCCACAGCATGCTCCCACCTCATCTCAAACATCAGATCCTGCAGTTTATAGGATGCTTCTGTGCTGCAGACGTGGATGTAGAACTGGCTGGGAGAGACGATGAACTCCACAATGACTCCCACCAAGCACCTGCTCTTCAGAGGAGGCAAACTGCACAGGCTCCTGTCCTGAACAGCATCTGGAGGGATTTCTGGGGCCGCTGGAAACTGCTCAAGACCTTGATGCTACAAGGGGATAAGGGGGAGGTGGCACTCAGATGTCTCATCAAGCACTGAACACACATAATTGGCCTTTTCATTCATTTAAAAAAATAGTTCTGCTTTCCTGGGGACTTGTGAATTACTGAATATCAGAGAATCACAACAAAATGGGCAAACTTTCCCTGTGATAGAAACAATCATTTTCACACTCTCTTTCTTTCTTCCCTCCAGTGTTAAGAGGGGTGCAACAAAAACACCTTGCTGATACTCCTGCAAGGAATAAAGGAGAGGAATTGAAGTCAGGTCTCATATTTAGACAAAAGCATTTTTTTGCCTGAAAAGCAAAACAAAATCAAACCCCAAACCCAACCCACCTCTTTGATGGATTTTACTGAAAAGGTATTGTTTCTATATTCCATGACCATGAAAAAGCACATGACTGAACCAGCAAAACCATCTGAAAATGATTCTGAAGTGACAGAAGACATGAATACATCCCACTTTCACACCAGAGCTACTTCTCAAAGACAAAACCAATCAAAATCTACAACTTCTGTTCTTTTCTCACTTTAGACACATTTGTACAAGTGAGCTCTTTGAACAGCTTTCTATTTTTCATTATTCTAGCTGCTGAAAACATTATTTCACTTGAAGTAGTATGGATGGGAGCCTCAATCCAACATCAGCTACTCTCACTGCCTCAAGAGCTTTCCTTTGTGCCAGCAGACAGCACTTCTCCAATGATTAAAGTCAAAACCACTTCAATTTTACTTATTGTGAGCACAGTACAAATTACCACTGCATCAAACATCAGGCAAGGTGTGGGCAATTCATATTCCAGCACACTCCCTGTTGCTTTTTTCTAAATTCAGCTGCAAACAATGGGGTTTTGCAATAGTGGCTCTCTTTAATCACTTTGTAAAGGTGCAGATCACAGAATCATAGAATATTCTGAGTTAGAAGGCACCCACAAGGATCAAAGTCCAGCTCCTGGAGCTGCAATGCACCACCCCATGAATCCTACCACGTGCCTGAGAGGATTTTCCACATTTTTCTTGAATTCTGGCTTGGTGCTGTGACCACTTCCCTGGTGTCTCCTTCTGCAGACTAAGTAAAGCCCTCCATTCTTTTGGAGCTAGAAATTTTGACTAAAACCTTTGAGTTAAACAGTGAGTTAACATTTTTGAGTCTAGGGGCAACTGAGGGAATTCTGGTCTGAGCAGCAGCATCACCTCTAAAAACCCCTTCCAATTTCACAGATTTCTCCTTACAAATTTCACAAATTTCCTCTGTGAATGGTGCCATTTTAAGTGTCAATTTTGCTCTGATAAAGCTCTTCAGGTCAGATTGTTAAGGGCACACATGAGCTTTATATGCTAGCTCACATATTGTGACAACAGATATTTCTTTGAAAGACTTAGGGGATGTGCACTTGAGAAGAAGCTCACAAAATGCAACAAAGCTATAAAGAGATAAAGCAAGTGTAAAATCAGGCTTTGTAAGAGGTATGGCTTGCAAGAGAAGCTGACTCCTTGCTCCAAGCTGGGCTGGCAGCTGCCAAGAGTGGAGTGGGTGACCCTTCTCCTTCTGCCATGGCAGCAAGAAAAAGCTCCTGGGAGCAGCAGCTCTGTCTCCTTTATCCTCCTGATGGACTCAGCCCTTGTGCCCCATCTGACCCTGAAAACACTTCCAGGACACCTGGCAGCAGGCCAGGGATCAGGTTGCATCTTTCCCCTCTACCTTGCAGCATCCTGAGGAACAAATGTCCACCACACACCCCAGCAAACACATTCCAAACTGCTTTCCTCCTCTTGAGAGCTTTTTCAAACCAAAACAGCACACTTGTTGTTTCATAACAATGAGTTGTACAAACATCTTGCAAATCTTGTCTTGACAGGATCTTTAAATGGTCTGCAATACCTAGGAACAAAAATCTGGGGCTGCCTAGACCATATCCCCTCTTTCATTGCCTTCACACAATCAGACTTGTGATTTGACCCAGGGAAATTTCCTGTGGACCTCATCACACCAAACTAAAATCTCTTTAAAGGATCAGAACAGGCTGCCAAAAATCTCACAAGTGCTACACAAAGTCCAACTCCTAGCTCCAGGCTTCCAAGCTCATTAGAACACAAAACACCAAAGTCAGGAAGAACCCTTGGGATTCTTTCCCTACCTCTAAGCTCCAATTGTACAGCTGGGTATAGCCACAAGACAAGCTTGTCAAGAGGAAACAACTCTAAGCAGGAGGATTTTCCTGAGAAAAAGAAGCCCTAAAGATGCTCAAAAGAAAAAAAAATAAAGAAGGGACAAACAGATTCTGCCAAAAAGATTTGGCAGTTCAAAGCCTCTGCACCGCTATTCTCCAGCCCCTTCTAAAACCACACTGCTAAACAAAACAAAATAATGAGAATTTCCTACCAAATAGCAGACTTGAGACTGAGGAATCAAAGTCACTGAGGAACATTCCCCAGCTCTGTCAACAGCAGCAGGGGAAATCTCACACAACTGGTGTCACAACAAAGTTATCAAAGTCCAGTTACAAGTAACTACATCCAAAGGTATCACCACTCTTGTAAGCCAGCAAGATAACACTTAACTGGCCTGGATGATCTGATAGACCTCAAGATCAGCAGAACACCAGAAAAAGACTGACTCTGGATGGCACATAAAGCTATCCACCAGGTCACTGTGAGTCTGGCTGCCTCCAGAGACATCTAAAACAAATGTCTGGAAGCAGCCGTGCCTCAACAATGCAAACTCAACAGAAACAAAGAGAGTAAAAAGAGAATCACCCCTGGAAACGGACATGAAAAATCTGCAGATCATTTGTCCAGCCACTTACCTGTTTGAGGTGATCACCCAAATCTTCTGCTGGTGTTTGCACTGGCTCTGAATCCATCAGAGTTGCTGCCTGGATGCAGCTCTTTGTCTCACAGGTGGGCTCCAAAGAAGGCACCTCAGCTGCAGATGCTGCTGCAAAGACAATAATTTGGTGTTATTCTTTGTTGGGCTGATACAGTGTTGCAGATTAAGCAGAAAGGGAAAACATAAAAAATGGAAGTCTGAAAGCATTAGTGTTGTTTTCCTCAATACTTGTAGCATTCACAGTCAACACATTAATGAGGATTCACTGTGTCAGCAAGTTAAAATAAGAATCCTTCAGAATCCTCTTGTAAGCAAGCTGGAGGTTAAAATCCATTGCTAGAATAATGTTAAAATATATTTTCCCTGGAAAAGCTGTGAATTTGGGAGGAACTGTATGTGATTATCCACCCTCTCCCATAAGCTTTATGGGAATGATGAGGGCATCTGCAGTCCTGTCTCTTTCAGGCCAGTGCTAAACCTTCAGTCTCAAAAAGTCTATGGCAAAAGCTTTACCAGCCTGCAGAGCAGACATTGAGAAGATCCTTTTTCACCTTCCACCTGGAATGACTGGAAATCCCTACACAGACATTCAGCAAGTCCATACTCTGAGTGGGCTAATCAGCCCTCCTTTCACCCCACACCACAAAACAGTGCCAAAAACCTTCCTGGAAATTCTCTGCTACCAAGACAACTGCTTGGTAATTGTGACAGCTGCTTCTGCAGCACTCAACAGCCCTTCTGTGCCAAAGCCCAGGGGAATCACGACTTCTGCAGCAACTGGAAATGCAGAAACAGAAACTTGAAAGGCAGTTGCTTGGCCACAGCGCTTGGAAGAGCTGGGGGCTTTCATTTAAACACAGCACCTCACCTTGCAGCACCTCCTCTTCCTGAGGCTCACCTTGAGGCCCCTTTTCCTCCTGAGCTTCACCTTGAGGCCCCTTTTCCTCCTCAGCTTCACTCCGAGGCATCTCCTCTTCCTCAGCCTCACTTGGAGGCACCACTTGCTGCTCTATCTTGCTTGCCAAGTACTTCCTCAGGACCAGCAAGGAACCTGCCTTTGTTTGCTCAACAGCAATGGAATCAGACATGCTCCTGAGGGCCTCAAACACGGACAGAAATCCGTACTGCCTGTACTGGAACGCCCGGCCAAAGCGTCTGAGGAAAGCCTTGTCCAAGTCTGCCAGCAGGAGTGGTGAGGAGCTCAGCAGGTCCTGCAGCTCAGCCTTCACCACTGCTGGCAGGACAGGAGTCCCAGCACTCAGGGCATGGAAACTCTGTGGATTTTTAGAGTACTTAGTGGGAAAAGTAGAATTTGCCTTCGCGGCGGTTTTCTTTGATGTCTTGCGTGTCTTTACTTTCTGGTTGGCAACCAGCCTGGCAATCCCTTTGGTGGAGTCATCTGCAATGGCTGCAACAGAAAGAAATAAACAGACAACCAGAACAATGAACCATTAAAAGCTCTACACTGGCAAAGCTCCTCTTCATCCTTTCTTTTCTCCCCTCCACACCCCTTCCAGAAGCACCTGACTCCTTCAAAAGCAATCACACTAAACCATGGCTGATTTCCAGCAACCTCACCCTCTGCACACTGGACTGAACTATTTTTAAAAGCCAGCAACCAGTTTGCACCCTCATCCCTGGAAATTCAGACTAGGCAGGAAGGCAGGTCAAATTCTTGGATGCAGGATCACAAACAAAAACCAAGCTGCTGAGCGTTTTGCTGGGAAGGCAAAATCACAGTAAACTCTCTCTACAGAGGACACCCTGCTCAAAGATCTCCCTGGAGAACAGCCCAGGTCTTTTCCAAGCCTCTAAACAACTTTTTCTTGTGTTACTGTAGCGCTCAAAAAGCCTCCAACAATTTCACCCTTCCCAATCAACTCCTGGCAACTGCCACTTGTTGTCACAACTCTTCCCCAAAGAAAAAGAAAATGAAAAATGTTCTTTGATACAGGCTAAGTTTCCTGTGGGGTCAGGTACAGAAACCTTCACAGCTTCTCTCAAGAGGCCCCATCCCTGGTTTTGGCTCCTGCTGTAGCTTGCATTTACAGGAAAAACTGTTACTTATCAGTTCTAGTGTACACATAAGGAAATGTTATGTCAGTTTCTAAACCAAGTGCAGAGTGAAAAAGTGTACAAAAATAACTAGAAGCATGGGTGACTTTTTTAGGAGGGAAGAACACCAAAGTCTTAAAAGACAGATCAAAATACAAGAAGAAATAGCAAAGACAAAAAATTAACCAGAATCGTATGAGAAACAGATGAACAGATATGCACATGTGAACCTCGCTTCATTCCAGTATGAGGCTCCAAACAACTCCCCCACCCATTTGGAAACAAAAACTCACCTTTGAGGATTAAAGCACCGTTCTTGGAAGAACAGATCTGGACAACTTCAGGCATTTGTGTCACCAGCTCCAGGGTGGACTTGAATCCCAGGTCATGCAGAGGGAGAGGTTTGCAGACCATGGCCATGTACTGCTCCTCCAGCTGCTCCGGCGTCAAGCCCGCCTTGGCAGCGATCAGCATGGCCCTCACCTCCTTCTTCAGCACCTCCATCAGCTGCGCCTGCTGCTTCGACGCCTCCGTACTAAAGGGGAACACAAGCAAGAGATGACAACTTGTACCACAGCTGCTCGTAATCACATAGAGTTTTAGCTTTTCCCACTTAGTCCCTGAAAGTTGGCAGCAGGTTCACGAACAACTCCTGAATTCACCTGCCAGCACCCCTGGAGTTTAATGCACCCTTAACCCACTGCCAGCACAGACACCCGGCACGTCCACAATGCTGC